GCGTAATCCATCGTCTTCAATGGGTCCCTATGTTCCTCCATCCTAATCACATGTCCAACCCATTTCAGAAAGTGGATTTGCAGTACTATTTTCAATGAGGCGGCCCCCAGCTCCTGGCGTATACTTTCGTTACGAACCCGGTCCCTCCTAGTTTTACCGACTGTTCTTCGCAGATACTTCATTTCAGCAGCAGTGACTCTGCTCTCTTGTCTGTCTATCAATATCCAGCTTTCAGCTCCGTATAGAAGTATTGGCAGGTACACAGATTTAAATATATGAAGCTTGACGTTCATGTCTACCTCTCGCTTTCCTACTACGGTGTTGCAAATCTGGTAGTAGACTGCATTTGCTTCGCTTATTCTATTGAATATTTCTAAGTCCACATTCCCCGATCTTTCTTTGACAGTTCCTAAGTAGGTAAAGTCTAAGACCACTTCTAATTTCTCTGCATTGCAGTGTACATGGGTGTCTTCATTTTGCCTTCCTAATTGTAGCACCTTACGTTTTCTGATATTGATCTGCTTTCCTTACCGGTAGAGTTCCTCATACCATTGATTCACCGCCTGCTGCAACTTTTCAGCCAAATCAGCGACAAGGACAACATCATCGGCATATAGCAGGAGCTGCATCACCACCGTACGTAGGTTTCTTATCTCCAGAAACGTCCTTTCTGTTATTCTTTTACATATGGCGGCCACCTCATACATATTAGTTAGAAATAGTAATGGCCTCAAAGTATCTCCTTCTTTGACGCCCTTTGCCATGTCAAAGCAAACGGACTCCAACCGTTCAGCCCACTAGCGGATCCAGGATTTATTTTTGGGGGGGGCTTAAGCCCGAAAGTGTTTTTTTTTCATAAAAATAACTATAATTACTTTGGAAAAAAAGAAAGGAACTTACTACCTATATGAAATGGTGTTAAAGTGATTCCTAAAGCCCTTTTAAACGTAATTACACGAACAATAATACTTTAAGAGATACTTTTGTAATATTTTTTTCGATAAAACATGGTTATATTTTACCATTTTGGGGGGGGGGGCTTCAGCCCGAAAGCCCTCCCCCCCGTAGATCCGCCCGTGGTTCAGCCTAAAAACCCTCTTTGGGTGTTGATAAATGGCCATTACATCCTCCGCTACGTTCCTTGGGACGTTTTTAGCTCTAAAATTCTCCCATATTCCATGCCTGGGAACCGTGTCAAATGATGCTTCCAGGTCAAGGAAAGCTAAGTACATATTTTTATCCCGGTCCCAAGATTTCTGTAGAACATTTCTTAGGGAGAATATATGATCCTGAGTTTGCCGTCCTGGTCTAAACCCAGCTTGTTCTTCCCCAATAAGGTGTTAAACTAAGGGCTTTAATCTTCCTTCCAGGTCAGTCGTATAAAGCTTATAGACCACTGGCGAGAGGCATATAGGACGATTGTTAGAGCATTCGGCCTGGGACCATTTCTTGTGAATGGGTATAATGGCATTGTATTCCCAATCAGTTGAGAATACAATCAGTCTTCTCGTCCCAGACTTTTTGACAAACCACTTGTAGAGTTTTCACCATCTTGGGGCCACCATATTTCACAAATTCTGCCATTAAATATCTCGCCCTGCCGCTTTCCCATTCTTCATTCTCGAGATAGCTCTTTCCATTTCATCCTCTTCTATCGCCTCGTCAAACTCAACCTGATACTATTGGCCTTCTGGGTTCACTGGGTATATATTATCTGCATCGAATTGCTTGGTTTAATATTTAAGCCAGACTTTTGGTATCAAAATGAGAGAAAACGCGAAATTGAATCCAAAAATTGGAAAAATACATTATATGGCTATCAGTATACATTATATGGCTAAACGAATATATAGTAGACAGATTAACAGAATATTTCCAGCAGCTCCTAAAAGAGGGTCAAACGCTGGGGCAGTTTCGATGTGTATTAAATTTCCTGGTATCTCCTTAAATCTTCTTACTTTTAAAGGGACAAAACTACAGTTCTATCAAATCATTTTCTAATGGCATATAAATTAATATACATTGAAAAAGTGGAGAAATATATCTTCACATTTGTTGCCTATATACGCGCAGCATATCGGGTTACTTTGTCCAGATTTCTTCAGTCTGGCCAGAGACAGCCATCAGTTAACATACCTCTGTATTATTAAGTGTTTCATTTCGTTTAAATTTCGTTGATTTCTGCCGTTTTTTTTTTTTAAATATTTTATATAACTAGAAATTATAGACATTTCATATTTCCTCTCTACTCATCGAAAAGTGAAATTATCGCAGTTTGTTATACTATCACGAGCTACGGGATAGTGGTAAACAACTGAGCTCTAGAGGATTAAGCCCTGCTGTTTTTCTCACGCATCATAACAACACGGCTTGTTATTGTAAGTACGATCTATTTACTATATAACAATATGACACAATGCCCGCTATGCAGTAGCCCCATCTGTCGAGAAGAGAAAAATATTTTATGTTGTGCTAAATAGCGGTTGACTGTAGGAAATCTTGAGCAGATGATGGGTGTAAGTGACGAGAGAGGGATCGGTGTACGATGACAGCAGTACCGGCATGTGCTCTACCGTCAGGATGGTCAGTACGGTATGTTATGTACTGTGGAATTTTTAAATGCTGTTTTACGGTCAGTCGAGTTTCTGTAATTAGGGCTACGTCAATGTTCTTGTTAGTTCGTCAACGTGATTTCTAACACCATTTGGGTTTCGGGATGTGAATCATTAAGGATTTTTTAAATGAGGGATGAGGTGAGATAAGAGATTTGTGAGGAGTGATAAGAGTGGAGTAACTAGGGATTTGAAATCGGTGAGGAAAGATGCTAACAAATTGGTGAGATCTGTTGCATTTGAAGGAGGAGGAAAAAGAGGAATTCGAGGTTGTTGATGGCTATGTGTGAGTCTCCCACGTCTCCAGTTGGTATGCCGAGTTGAAGTGGCTCTATCCAGTCTTCCGACGGCAATACTTCCTAGGTATATTCCTTTTTCGAACCTTTTCAACCAAAAAACTCTGTTACATTCTCGATTTACTCCTTACATTCCTTGTTCCTCTGTACATTCGTTAAACACGAGATCCCAGCCCTCAAACCTGTTCATTCCTTTTCATAGAATTGTTCCTTTAAAAAATCGTTTGGCATGCGTGCTACCTTATTTTGGAATTCCCTACCAACCTCCATACGCAAATTATCATCCTTAACCTCATTTAAACATAATTTAAATAAATTATGGATAAATATCCATCTCCTAAGTAATCGATCTTCCAAATATGTGGAAAATAATGTTCACGTTTTTCAGATCAGTCAGTCGCTTTAATGTTATCTGACAGATAATAATATATCACCCATATTGTTTATGTGTACAAATATGTGAACTTGCATATCTGAATTTATTTATGATTTCATATATCTAACAATGCCTGTTCTTTATTGTACCCTTAGATCTGAACAATCATGTAATTTAATTTATTTCCAATGCCTGACAATTGTCATTAAATTGTACGTTGTAGTTATTCTAAGAGCCCAGAATTAAATTTATTTTTCTTCTTCCTTTCTAACTTAGTGGTTGAGGTTGCAAATATTTTATCACCTTTCGTAATGCCCTCTCCTACCTCAGCTGGTACTTGTGTAAATTCGCTTTTGTTTCTGATAAATATTTCACTATTTTTGGATAAGTCTCGGCAGTATCTGGTATTATTTTAGTGTCATTGGTTCTCTTTATACACACAGTAAATATAACTGTTTTGATGTATCCTTAGCCTGTATTGAGTGTGAAATCACAGATATGTATCTGGAATTCAAGTAAACTCTGGAAGCCAAGGTGGAAACACAACTGTTCACGTCAGCTGACCAATCAGCTGTGGATAGTAAAATGAAAATGAAAATATTTTTTTTTTTATTATCCTGGGACTTTTGTCCCTTTAGGACAAATTATACATACAGAAAAATATCTGTGTGATCATACATTAATTTAATCATTTACATATCTTATTAAAATTAAAATATTGGAAGAAGAAAAAACATTGAAAACATACAGATTCATATAAAACAAACATGAGAAAATAAAATACCATAAGTAAACAAAATCATTTCTGGGGAACTTAAAAAAATCTCTTATGTACATTTCGAGATCAATCGGGTTGGAAAAGGAGTAGGTGCTTAAAAAGGAGAGATTTAAATGAGGAAACTGATTGTGTATGTCGGATATTGGGAGAGATGGTATTCCAGAAGGAGACGGCTTGTATTATAAAGGATTTGTCAAACGCTGCAGTTCGGTGAGGAAGTGGATAGAGGTCGGAAGTAAGGGATCTAGTGGGACAGGGTTGAATGGAATATTCAAATTATAAGCTGTGAAAAATATAGGAAGGTCGCTGAGTTCTGATGGCTTGGAATCGAAAGGTAGGAAGGAAATACGGTTGGATGGATAGAGCCACTTAAACTTGGTGTAATACTGGGTTAGATGCGTATCTCTTGAGATTCCGAAAACAAAACGTATTGCGCAATTCATTAGGTATAATGTAAAATCAAAAAATAAAAATACATCAAAAGGAATTTCAAAAATCAATCATGTATTCCACCTTTTCATTTCACGGACTAGGCTGAAAATTATAATAAAATGCTTGACTGTTGTATAGATTATACCACTTTTAAAAAGTATTTTAAAACAAAAATAGCTCTGCAGTAATTGGAATGAGAGTTCGTCGTCAATAAAGACTAAATCTTTATCTTTTTCTTTTTTAAATGAAATTTTGAATGATGGTGGATTGTTATTGAGTGCAGATGTATCTAAGGAGAGATTGGTTGGGAGGTGGTCTAAAGGGTGAAAGCAGACAGAACTTTAAATAAATTAGCGAAAATCTCTTTTATCTAATATATTAGATCGGTTTATAGATTTTAAAGCAGTTGGTATTTCATAATTATTAAATTGGTCTGGAGAAGTTGTTATGAAAAAGAAACAAGTAGCTCTTAAAATGTTTGAGATACTTCAGTAAGTCACAGTTGTTATCATTCAAATATAATCGATTTTAAGAGCTGTTAATATTATGCTCAAATTAAGTAATTTTTGTTTCTAATTCGCCAGTTGTTGACAATTGTTTGGTTTTAGGTGGATTTTTAATTTTCCATTATTTAATATTCAGTACTATTTAAAAAATCGAAATCGGGTTAGTACATTATTTGGTTCATTAAGTGTTATCGGTTGTTAAATTGATGTTTTATCTTACGGAGTAAAATAAAAAGGTAAGTAAAAGTTTAAATGTATGTTATATAATTACTGTTTAAAAACTTATGATTTTGCATGCAAGATTTGCTGTTCTAATAATTAAGTTCAGTTTTAATTTCCTTTAGTATATACTCAAGCTGAAATAGTTCTCTCTTACCATAGTAAATTGTTATTGAGATGTCAAATTAATCCAACGTTTTTTTTTATTTAATCAAATGTTAAACTAATTGATCCAATTTTTGTAACCATTTTTATTGTTATTTACCCATTCAGTATTTCCTATAGTTATAATTTTTTAATATGAATTGTGAAAATGATCTTTTTTTAAGGAGGCTTTGTATAACTTTTTGTTTATCTCTCTATTTTTTTTTTTATTTTAAGTACTCACTAGTTGTTTACTACAGTTCATTCATGAAGTTAACAACTTGGGATGAATAAGTATGTCTTACATTATCAAAACACAAATTGTTTGAAATTTGAATTGACTGCGCTCATATTGTTTTGTTGAGGATTTTAATAGATTTGTACTTAATATATTAACAGTGTAAGTATATTAATCTCTTTGCTGTATTTGTCTATTAATTTACTAACAATCTTATCAATTTAACAAATTAGATTTATTGTTTTGTTTGTTCAATGAGTATTTTTCTTTTGTTGATTTATCCGTCTTTTTATTGTTTTATTAATATGTTACATGTTTAGAGGGAGTATTCATTTGATCTTTAGTTGACAATATTTATTAATTATTTCCATTTTGTAGTTTTGTTACAAATGATGTAAACATAAAATTTACTGAATAGCTAGTCTGAAATTTAATTGTGTTGAACTAATATGTTTACTGAAAATGAGTTTCCATTCATTCACTCTTCATATAACAGATTTCTGTAATAAATAATTCTAATTAATTATCCTTAATAAATTGCTAAATTAGTTTCCTCCAAAATCCAGTTTTGGCTTTTGCAATTTTTGTTTTCAAATTATAGATATGTTATGGAAGTATATCAATCTAGAAATATAATTTACATATTTACTTAAGTTTAAAATGTGGATGACCTTTTGAAAAAAGTTCTCTATTTGCCTCAAATACATTCATTAAAATGAACAAACACTAATAAATTCAAAAAGTTTATTATGTTAAAGATTTCCACTCTTTTAAGATCTATTATTTATGAACAACCTATATTAACAATTATAAGGCCTTTGTAATGAAGGATGGAACCACATAGGAACTATCTGTCAATATCGCTTAATATTGACCCTTTAACTGCTAGCGACAGCTATAGCCGACATACCAAAACGTGCTCTTTTGCTAATGACAGCTAGAGCTGACACGCCCCTCTCCTGTCCTCAGTGCTAACGTCTGTTATAGCAGTACAACTTAAGAGCTTAGCGCGCCCTTATTATATTCTACCTGTTACCTAATGAAATAAAGCTCCTATAACTAGTAGCTCCACGACTTTAGGAATTTTAGGGGAAATAATTTATAAATTTTTGCCCTTCACAGGAGGATTTATTTTTAGAGTCAGGAATAAGAATCAAAAGAAGGAACTTGTGAAGAATCCGGTCGGTATGGACTGCTATCTGCCATTGTTTATAACCTGAACATTGATAATTCTGATAAGGTACTAATAATCCCTATCTTCATATTCATATTTATTGAAATAGAAATAGCCAACAACAAATGTCATATTTTGGGAAATTGAAAAACACAAAAACAAATGTAATAATAACAAAACACTTAGATTTGAAATTGAAATAGACAAAAACAAATTAATAATTCTTACAACAATAACAAAACACTTTTATTTTACAACATTTATATGAAATAGACAAAAACAAATGTCATATTTATGGAACTTGAAAAACACAAAACCAAATGTTATAATAACAAAACACTTTGATTAAACAACATATATATGTAAAACACTTTCATTTTACTATATATATATATAAAAGAATTTTATTTTACATTTTATACAAAATACAACATAAACACTTAATACATACAATGCATATACTTTCATATTTTATATAAACAACATATGTACATATAAAAAAATTTTATTTTCATTTCATTTATTTTGGCAGACAAAATAGCTTAATGCTATTTAAAATAGCGAGGAATTAGCCTGCCGCCACAAATATTCGCATAAATATGAACGAGGTGTTGTCTCGCAGCTCCTCAATGTTTCTTATTTCTCCTCTTAGCTGAGCCCCATAATCATTCTATTTGTTGAGTATGGATCCCACTTGATGGATCAACAAAGTTATACCAGCGATTCTCCTGGAAATGATTATAGTTTGCTTCATTCAATTGTTGGGTGTTGTATCCTTGGGTGTCAGAATATTATTTCCCTCTTGTATATTATTTGTAATACATTCTAATAAAGTTCTTGGGTACTACTTCACTAGCAGGCCGGGTCGATACCTCACTTCTTATCTATGTTATCTAACGCACGCCATATAATCTCCCTCTTCTTATCCCGCCAAACCTTTCAGTTATTACATTGTTTATTTTTCAGTTATTCTCTTATTACGTTCACTTATTAAATTCTTTATTTTTGGCCCATTTGTGTTAATTTTTCATTTTTTTAAAGTTTATTTTCGTCAAATTATGAATTTTGTTACATTCTGGGATTTACCATCTTCAGAAGAATAGGCTATTGAATATTTTCAAAACGTTGGGATACTTGCCGACATGAAATTGTGTGAAAAACCGGCGGGTTCACAAAGAGGACCCGTTCCTACCTATTTTAAATAGCTTAAAACTATTTTGCGTACCAAAAAGCTTGTGCATCCTTTAGTTTTCTAATATTGAATCTTTTGGGTTTATCGGCAGCTTTCAAATTCCTTGCTGAGCAGATCTTCGCCATCAAGTGTGCTATGCTCAGAAAGTGGTCCGAATCTATGTTCGCTCCTCTGAATGTTCTCATATTACGTAAATTGTTTCTATGGCGTCTTCCTATCAGAATATGGTCAATCTGGTTAACAACTGACCTGTCAGGTGACGTCCATGTGCCCTTGTGGATATTCTTATGTGGATACAGAGTACTCTCTACCACTAGATTCCTGGACTCTGCGAAATTAATGAGTCTTTGTCCATTATCATTAGTTACATCATTAAGGCTGTGTTTTCCAATTATCTGCTGGTATATTTCTTCTTTTCCTAACTTGGCATTAAAATCTTCAGCGATTACTTTTATATCATACCTAGGACATGCATCCAGAGTCCTTTTCTAAAGATTATAGAAGGCATCCTTTTCTTATTCGCCAGACACCTCTGTGGGGGCATGTACACTTAGGAGGCTGTAGTTATAAAACTTTCCTCACATTCTTATAAGACAGATTCTTGGCTTCACTGGTTTAAATCCTATTATCATCTGCCTGTACTTTTCCTTCATGACAAATCCCGTACCGAATTCATGCCAACTCTCATGACAGCTGTAGTAGATGGAGTGGCGCCTTTTCTCAAGAATTCCTTGACCAGTCCATCTGATCTCCTGGATAGTACCTATGTCAATCTTGTACTTGTCAAGTTGGTCTAAGAGCAGCTTCAATGCTCTGGGTCTACAAAGAGACAATATGTTCCAAAATCAAAAGTTAAGAATCCTATGGGGGTGCCAGGTCGTTTTCCTTTATGACTGATCACATCCAAGGCTGGTATGGGTTTCATGATATTAGGTGTTTCGGGTAGTGTGGCTATCCACCGTCTCTCCGTACCCTAGTCTGCTGACGGGGCTGCCATCTCAATGCATGCAGACATGCATCCCCAACCGGCTTCCAAGGGAAGGTGACCCTAGGGTGTATATTGTATGTGACCTTGTGTATAGTGTGCTGCAATTGTGTACTGTATGTGCGTTAGTGTACTGTTACCCCTACCTGGAGGACCAGTGACTGACTGTGGTACAATGACCGGGCGGTGGGGTCGCCACTCACTCAGCTTAATTACACCGAAGTATTAGACAGCAAAGTACACCGGAAAAGCTACAATACTGGCCAGGACATTGTTAAGTTTTGGTTGCATTGTTATGAGGCAATCATGGAGGCAGCCGAAGAAATACTACGGCCACACGAGAAGGAATTAAGGTCACCCTGGTTCGATGATCAATGCAGAGAAGCCACGAACAGCAAGAACAGTGCGTAAAAAACAATGATTTGGACAACCACAAGGAGGTCTGTCGATGAATACCAACAGAGAAGGAAAGCAGAGAAGCGGTTACATCGACAAAGGCAGAGGGAAGAGTTAGAAAATGTGGAACGTCTACACCGTAACAAAGAAAGTAGAGATTTCTTCAGATTGGTAAACATGGAAAGAAAACAATGCATTAATAAACTGGTATCCTGTAAGGATAAAGAAGGTAACTTGTTGACCAACAAGTCTGACGAATGGAGGAATTATTTCAATAATCTTCTCAACTCAAGTGAAGAAGTCACCTTTGATGAAGCAAGAAATCAAGAGGACGAAATCAACAGACTATAGGTGGAAGAACAAGAGATAGATCTTGAGCCACCTGATGAAGGCGAAATTGCATATCCAATCAGCAAACTCAAAAACAATAAGGCTGCTGAGCTCTTGAAATGCGGTGGAAATGAGCTTACCAAAGCACTACAAGATCTCCTCCTTGTGATATGGGCAATGTTGGACCCAATAAGTGATTGAGTACAGAAATCTCGTCTTGAAAGATGGATGTATATCTACCTAGAGATACAAATGTTCCCTCATTAGATTTATCGTTTCTCCAGATACCAGCCCTTTAGAGGGCATTGCTTAGGAGCGTCGGCATTCATTATGTTTTGAACAACTTTTTATTTTCTTCGATTATAATAATTATATTGGGCTTTTTTTCTTTGATTATATTGAGCTACTTTGTATTGGTATTGTTCCTGCTGACGACTCCTATCTGGCTTGTTGGCCCTGTGTGTGTGGATTGTGGATTCGACACTTTTCCAGCACCCTTGTCAGCCATGTTGGTTTTATTTATTTTTTTTCTTTCCTCAACTTGTAAAATTTAATGGC